TGGAGTGATTCCTCAATATATAGGTCCTGATCCTACAATCCCTTCTCATCTGAGTAAGGATTGCAGGACTGGCCTGATGTGGGGGAAAGACCCTATATCAGTGCAAAATGATTGTTATTGCAAGAGACAGTGCATTTGCTTTTCTAATATTCAGCACCAATATTCAGACACAGGTCCCATCCATTCCTTAGCCCATGCCTCTTAAAACCTGGAGTCACCGAGATTATGATTGCTTTGGAGCAAGGATTGTCCTTTTACTGTGTTTCTGTAGGACGACTCTTGCTGGCACCCCTGGAATTCAGATGCTACTGTTTAGTGTCGGGCAATCCATAGCCTATTTCTATTTGAAATTGTTTTTCTGCTCTTTAGTTTACTTTTTTTTTAACGTTCAGTTAACAGTTATTATAGATCTTTTTTCCACACGCCCCATCAGACAGATGAAGTTTGTCTGGTCACGTTCTTAGACTTGGGCAGGATTCTCTTCAGTATTCTCAGCCTTTGAGTGGGAGCCCAAGAATGAGGCAATTGTTTTACTATTGCAGTACTGTAGTCAGTTCCAGAGCAGCTAGTGCTGGTAGAAGAGCCTTTCTTTTAATTTTTTACTGTAATATACTTTTCTTCCTGACGTACGACTCATCTATAGCAAACTGACTTTCTCATTTCACTGTGATTCACCACCACACTTTTTTTTTCCTGTGAGCTCAAATGAATATTAACGAATGAGTTCAGTCAGCACAAGACTCAACTGCAGCATAACCCACTGAGATCTGCTCCACCTTGGTAATGACCCTCACTTCAGCTGGGGTAACCCACATGCCTGCTGGCACCAGAAGAGTGAAGACAAGGAACAAACCCTGATGCTCTCGAACAAACGCATCCACACGATATCCAAAGGGGTCAGTGTTCCCAGGCCAAAGACGTGTTTGTTTTCAGGGAGCCATAGAAATGTGGGGCTGGAAGGGATCTCGAATCCACCCCCCCAAGCAGAGGCAGGATTCAATAAATCTAGACTACCCCGAAAGGTGTTTGTCTATCCAGTGGTTCCCAAACTTTAACAAACCGCGAACCCCTTTCACTAAACTGGTGAACTCCCTCCTAAAAATAGATATTTCCAGGGATTTTCTCCCTTACCTCAGCAGCAATTATAAAAGCAGTGATCTTGGAAATATAAAATTTGTTTTTAGGACATGCTTATTACACATCATTTATTAACTATGATTTATCATCACAGTGTTTTTATTACATTCGGGAAACAGAAACACTCTGCCAAGATCTCACTTGTGTAGCTTGTATCACTTTGGATGAAGCCTGTTAGGCTCCTGTCAGAGGCACCAGGAGAAAAAAGGGTTGCAGGGGCAAAGCTTTTGTGCAGCCGGGGGGCAGGGCCGGTGCTACCATTTAGGCAAGCTAGGCGGTTGCCTAGGGCACCAAGATTTGGGGGTGTCAAAAAGCAGGTGTTTTTTTTTTTACATCGTTCCTACGCCCCCTCCCCGAGCGTGCCGTTGCTGCTCCACTTCTCCTGCC